ATACACATGTAACTGTATGCTTGTAATATTTGGTTTGTCTGTTTTTGCTTCAGTTTTTTGTTCACCACTTGGAGATACTTTTAATATATTGAGTGGTATAGAAATTTGATAATCAAACTAGTTAGCCTGGAGAAGACTTGGGAAGGTGGGGGCAGCGATAGTATCCTTCAAATACGATGGGCTGTCACACAGAATAGGGCAAAGATTTGTCTCTTGCTACCCTAGAGGACAGGATTTGATTTATTGGTCTTAAATTACAGAAGGGAAGATCGTAGTTCAGCTTTAGGAAAAAGACCTCGATTATGGCTGCCTAATCTCTGGCCCTCCAGAAGTTGTTGGACTCCAACTCACATCTGCCCTAGCCAGCAGGGACTACGGTCAGGGATGATGACAACATCCAAAGGGCCACAGATTTGTCATCCCTGTTTGCCGAACAGAAGCTGGGCATCTGTTGTGGATGCTTGTTGGTTGTACTATTAAATGGTGCACTCATGCCACTTCCAACACTATGATCTTCAGACTAATCTCTTAAAAAATTGGTTACATTCTCTCTCTCTCTCTCTTTTTAAAAATTTCTGTAACTCCACAGTAAATAGCTAGGTAAAGCAAGTTAAGTTTCTTTCATCACTGCCACAGCGGTATTCAGTATTGCTGTGATGGGACAGCTTGGTCTTTTATTATAATCAAGTGCTCTACCTAAGGTTTTGGCAAGCACTGTGTGCTAATGAGCAGACTTCAATATCATGTCTGTTTTAATGCATCTGTAACGTGACAATCTGGATTGGATAGTGCTGCAGCCTTTGTAAGCATGTGGTAAACAGAGCATGACAAAATGCGCAATTGTTAAGTTTTGACGACATTTAATTGGGCGTATTTAATGTTTGTTAATAATTTATGTCTTTTCCGTGTTTATATGTTTGTGGAGATTATTCACTATGCAATTTAAACTCCTGGTATATATCACCTTTTGAAACTTCTTGGATAAATGATAGGTTAAAAAAAAAGTCAATTTGCAAATAAAAATGTTTTGCTTTGTTTTAAAAAAGATAAATTTAATATCCCCAAAGACCTAAATAATTCAACAACCACTACTAGTACGTGAAAAATGTGACACAAGATACAGTGGGTGCTTTTTGAAAATGATGGGTGTCTTCACCTGCTCCGGCTGTTCTGACACAGGAAGGGGAAGAACGTTTTGAAGGGTGCTTTATTACTTCACAAACAAAGTCTTTGTGTAGTTTACACTGGCATCTGTGAACTGCTCTGATTTTGTATGAAGAGTTGTATGTCAATGGAAAAAGACAATCAGCAGTTCACTGCTTCTACAGCTTGCCAAATCCTGAAATAAGTGTTTTTATCTGGGTATCCTGTATCAGCAGCCTCCAGCCAGCTCCCCAAAGTAGCCATATTACAGTGCACTGTCTAATAATGAGACTTCCTGCCAGGTAACTGCGTGCAGAATTGCAGCCTAAAGCACACACCTGGAAGAAAGCCCCAGTGAACAGACATGTACAGTGCAGTGTCTCAAAGCACAGGCAACAGGGGAGTCTCATGTTGTACCTTTAACAAATGAACAGTATCATGTAGTTCTGCAGCCAAGATCCTACCTCATGAATCACTGTGCACAATGCTAGCCACATGGATTACTTTTCACAGCTGGCAGTCAAGTGACTCACAGTTGGGACACCGATACAGAACAGCTCTAAGGCTTCAGTTCTATTACACTAACCTTGAATTCAATGGGAATTATTTCTGAGCGAAGTGGCATGCATAGGCTAGTGCTGTGAGTTTGGGAGGGTCAAAATAGCCCTATTACGGTAGTAGGCGGGAAATGGTATGCATTCAGCTGTGTCATTGTTGAGGAGCGCATTAACACCGTCCATGCCTGTGGCTTCATAGACATAATGCTGCTGTTTTTTTTCTGTGACAGGAACAGAAGACGTTACTATATATGGAGGCAGACCATTGGACCAGCTCTGAGGGCCTTCTGGCGGTTCCCTCACTGCGAGTAGTGAAATTACAGCAAGCCAGACACGGGGACTTCTTGGTGGTGGCTCCTGCCTTGTGGAACATCCTCCTGGCAGATGTTAAGGAAATGAACCACTATCTGAGTTTTAGAATACATCTGAAGGCAGCCCTGCATAAAGAAGTTTTTAATTTCAATGTTTTATTGTGCTTTTATATCTGTCGGAAGCCACCCAGAGTGGCTGGGGCAACCCAGTCAGATGGGCGGGATATTATTATCATTATTCAAGCTCAGTATTGGCAGCAGCTCTCCAAGGTGTCAAATGGGAGTCTTTCCCACCCCTGGAAGTGCTGGGGATTCAGCTGCTTGCATGTAAAGCATGTCCTATGCTAATGAGCTGTAGCCCTTCCCCAGATTACGGTGGTTCAAGATGAGAAGACCACCTCAAGAAATTCATGTTTCAGATGCAATTTGCATCAGAGTATTAGTTGTTGAGGGAACGACAGTGGGAGAGTGTGATTGCCTTCATGTCCCCCTTGTGGATTTCATTATGGGCCTTTAGCAGTGTGGCAGCCATTTTGTTTTCTTCTTTCATTGTACAGGTAGATTTTTAACACACTTCCTTATCTTTTCCACTGCCAGATCTTTATGTTAATTGCTCTGCAAAGCAGTGTTCTTGGCCAATTTCAGTGCCTGAGGAGGAGAGCTCACGTCTCAGACTGGCATGACAACCAACATTTCTTCCCAAGACTACATGGAATTGAAATGTAAATTCTTATCTAATATTTAGGGTTACCATGTGCCCTCTTTTTCAGAGGTAAAATTTGAGACAAATTGCATCTATTTGCTTTGAATGGCCATCATAGCGTCCTCTTTTTTGCTCTTCAAAATATGGCAACCCTAATCGGAGGCATTCCCTAAAGCAAAATGCACATATGCAAGATCAGTTAAACAGAGATTGTTAAGTGTTCCTTCTATTTCTGAAGAGCGCTGTTGCTTATGTGACCAAACACCACAGTTCACACACTAGACAGAGATATCAGCGTATTAGGTGAAACCTCCTAGGTTTGCAGAGGTACAAACAAAACCCCTAAGTGGGATCTCAAGCACTCGGTGTCAAGGAAATATTTTGACGGGGTGGGGGGGAATTGAAAACTGGGTGGGAAGGGGAATAGAGTACTGTGGAGGCATTGCTGTATCAATAATCAATGTGCTTGTTGTTGTTGTTTAGTCGTTTAGTCGTGTCCGACTCTTCATGACCCCAGAAACCTACAATCTTGGCTGTAAGTCCTGGAAGAACTGTTTCCTGTCTTGCAGGCCTTTACTCATCTGGCTTGGAAGGGCTGGGCCCTGACTCCAGCTACAAAAACTGAGGCTACTGGGCTGGGATATTGGGGGGGGGGTTGGATGTTGTTGCTGCTGCTGTTATTGATATTAATTTTTGTACCTTTATTTTATAATTTATTTTTATGAGGAAATTGTTTCAATTTACTTGTGTACTTTCTTGATGTTTTCATATACTCACAAAACTGTCCAGTTGGAAGGGACTCTTGAGGGTCCAAACCCCTGCAATGCAGAAATCTTTTATTGCTTATTGCTGTGCCTGCTTCTTGGGAGAAAAGCAATGACAAACCTAGACAGCATCTTAAAAAGCAGAGACATCACCTTGCGGACAAAGGTCCATATAGTTAAAGCTATGGTATTCCCAGTAGTGATGTATGGAAGTGAAAGCTGGACCATAAAGAATTGATGCTTTTGAATTATGGTGCTGGAGGAGACGCTTGAGAGTCCCATGGACTGCAAGAAGATCAAACGCATCCATTCTTAAGGAAATCAGCACTGAGCGCTCACTGGAAGGACAGATCCTGAAGCTGAGGCTCCAATACTTTGGCCACCTCATGAGAAGACTCCCTGGAAAAGACCCTGATGTTGGGAAAGACGGAGGGCACAAGGAGAAGGGGATGACAGAGGACGAGATGGTTGGACAGTGTTCTCAAAGCTACCAGCATGAGTTTGACCAAACTAGGGGGGGCTGTGGAAGACAGGAGTGCCTGGCATGGGGTCACGAAGAGTCGGACACAACTAAACGACGACAACAAATATGTTTGTATGTGATTTTATTTCATGTTGTAAGCTGCCTGGAGCATAGTTTTAACTATGGAAAGGTGGCATACAAATAAAATGATATATGTATTTATGTATACACACACACACACTCACACACTCTCAAATGTTTTGAAAGCTGCATTTCCAAATTAACACTCGGTTTTCAGACCCACTTCACTTCCCGGCCCTCCCACATCCACTCCAACCTCGCCTGTCCACCCCCCACCCCCGCCAAAAACCCCCAATGTCTTTGCTCCTTAAACCTTGAGCAAGCAAGCTTCTCTCCCCCCCCCCGCAACCCAACCCTCGCAGGGCATACATCTGCAGGCCCTTATGGGTGAGGCATGGCCCCCGACTCCCCGAACCCAAAACCCCTTGCCCGTGCCTTAAATTCCTCTCGAGTCCCCGCCCCCTCTCTGTCCATCTTTCCCCGCGCCCCGTTAGGCACGAGCATGCACACGAGTCATGTGCCCGTGTTCGTCGTGCCCGCTTCGAGCCCTTCCACGCGACATTTTCCAAGCCAGGGGTCGCTGGTTAATGACAATGTAAGAGGTGGAGGGAGAGAGAAGGGCAGTGTGGGGTCTTGCATCCATCCAATCCAGCAGCTTTCTCGCTTTGCTCAAGCTCAGTAAGAGGAGGAGGCAGGAGGAAGTGTGTGGGGTGGGCTCCTATTGTCCCCCCCTTTTGCATATATATATATATATATGTGTGTGTGTGTGTCCGCGCCAACATATAGCAGCATATGTTTTAAGTTATATATAGGGCTGCTATTTATAATACTGCATTTCCCCCTGCTGAGTGAGAGAGAGAAGGGGAACCCCCCACCCCACCCCGACACAGGAGCCTTCCCCCTACTTTCCCCGGCGAGGGAAGGGCGACGCCGAGCGCGCGTTTCCCTTCCGGGCGCGGGGCGGGGGTCGAGCGAAGGAGGCGGCCTGCCGAGGCCCTGCCCGCCGCCGGGGGGATTCTCGGCTCGGCCGCCTGAGCCTGCCAGCTTTCCGAGGCTCGTTAGAGGGAGCTGTCGGCCGGAGGGAGCGGCGCTTGCTGCAGTGAGGGGCCCGCTCCTGCCTTGCTCGCCGCCGCCGCCGCTTCCACCACCACCAGCACCGCCGCCGCCTCCTCCTCGGGAGCCGGAAAGGGAGCGAGCGAGAGGGACCCTTCCGAGCGCCAAGAGGCGGCGGCGGGCCGTCGCGGCGTAGCCTCTTTCCGGCACGAGAGGTGGGCGAGGGCTGGCCGGGCCCTGTGGCGGCCGCCGGCCCGCCGCTATGCATCCCGCGAGCTCCTGGGAGCCGGCCTGGGGAAGGCAGCCGGCCGGCCGGAGGTACGGAAGCACCCCCGCCTCGTCCGCGCTTACCCGAGAATAAATGGGGCGCTGGTTGGGGGGTGGCGGGAAAAGGGAAAGCAGGAGCGGCGCGCGTGCGTGTGTGTGGAGGGGGGGGGGCCGCCGTTCATCCGCCTGCTGGGGCTTTTGGAGAGGCAGCTCCCTCCGGAGGAGAAGCGGAGGACGGGTTCCCGCGCCCCTTGGCGCCCTTGAGAGGGTCCCCGCTCCACAGCCACCGCGCGGGCCGGGAGGAGGCTCCCGGTGGTGCTTTCCCAAGGTCCTTCCTCCTCTTCTAGGGGAGGAGGAGGAGGGTCTCCCCCGTCGCCCTTGAGATGGATCCCCCCTCAGGCTGAAAGGGTATGGGGTCTTCCTGCCCCCTTCCTCGCTGCTGCTTTTTACTCCCATTTTAGGAGAGGGGGGGTGAACATGCCACCTCCTCGGGCAGATTAAATACGGTCCCTCTGAATTCGGCTTGAGGGGCGGGGGGGCTGTCACCCCAATAGTGCCCTTGAGAGGCCAGCCCTCTCTAGGCAGGAGGGAAAGGGCTTCTCACCAGGGGGTGTCCTTAAGATCCTCCTCTTTCCCGACAACCGGGAAACTCGCCCCACTGACGCCCTTGCGAGGTTCCCTTTACACGGAGTGCATGGCGGTGGTAGTCATTGCCCTATGGATGCTCTTTTGGAAAGTCCCCTTATTTCGGGTGCCCTTGAGACAATTCCCCGCATGGTGGCGGCGGGAGAGAAGGGAATGGGCAGTTTCAGGCTCTGGGAAAGGTCACTTCCCAAAACCGACAGCTCAAGGCGGGAGTACAAGGGAAGGACTGGACTACTTCTCGGGGGCAGCCTGACCTCATCCCAGCTTCTTTTCGTTGTCTGGTGGGAAGACTGAGAGCCCACCTTACTGAGGAGCAGAATGGCACCGTTTCTGCCCTTGAGAGGACCTTCCATCCCGAGTGGCTCACCCCGAGGACCCCCCCCCGCCCCTTTCCCCAGTGGGTGAATACTCGACATGTGGGTCACGCCTGGTGCTCTGATCAGAGCTGGATGTTCCCCAGCATTGCCTGGCATCTGCCTCTTGTCGCCCTTGCGACAACCTATGGATAGGTTGAGGTGGGGCAGCGGAGTAATAACAACAACAACAACAACAATAATTAATAATCGAAGCTATCCGGCGTGCAACTCCGAGATTCCTTCCGAGAGCTGCCGAGCTCCTCCCTCCCCTCTGTGGGGCGCTTGCAGGAAGAGCACCGCCGAGTTCTTCCTACTTCTCCATATTTGAATGGGGCGCAGAGGCGTCCCTTCCCCCTGGCTTTTCAGAGGGTGTCCCCCCCACCTCCTGCCCCCAAAATACTTTGCAGGAGCAGAAAGGTAACGGGGCGGGGAGTTCCCGAGACGACCTCTATCCTCCCCTTCCTCGCCGCGCCTCTGTACCCCAACAGGTGTCGCGCATGCTTCCTCCTCGCCCTCCGCCCTCTTGCCCTGCCCTCTTGCACCCCACCCACCTCGGTGGGAGATGCGGGGGACACCCGCCCGCGGGGCTGCTGGCCGCCAAGCTTAGCCTAGGAGAGCCGGGCGCGATAGGCCCTGAAAGCCGCGACTGGAGGAGGCGGCGGCGGCGGCGGATTTAGCCGCAACCCCGGGACAAATCCTCTTGCCGGCGACCTCCCTCGCCGGGCTGGCAGCCCCCGGCGTTGGCGCCGCTTCTCTCTTCCCTCTCTCGCTCGCTCGCTCGCTCACTCCGCGCCTTTCTTCCCCCCCGCACTCAGGGAGCTGCAGACGGAATAGGGAGCCGGCTCCCAGCCCGTTACTTTGGGGCCAGGCCAGCCACCTCCGTGTCCATGAGCCCGCCGCCCTCCTGTCAGAGCTGCTGCTGCTGCCGCCGCCGCCTCCTTCACCAGCAGCCGCTGCCAACTAGGGCGCACATTGCTGCCGCCGCCGGGCCCAGTTCGCTCGGCCCTGCCATCTCCTTCCCTCTGCGCAGCAGAAGGTGAGTGATGATCCGCGGAGTCCCGTTGGTTGGCTTGGCGTTGTGGTTGCCCACTATCCCTTTCCTGCCTTCCACAGGCTGCTGGCGTCCCACCCCCTTCCTAGTCCTCCTTAGTCTTCCCCCCCCCCAAATTCCTGCTTTCCATTTCCAGCCTGGGATTCTCTGCCCTTCCCTCTCCTGTTTATCTCTGCTTTTACCTACTGACTGCCCCCTAATATGTTTGGATGTCTCCACTCTTTCCTGACTAACTTGAAGGCTAGAGAGGCCATTTCAGGTATTCTAATGTCTGGCTTCAATGCTTATTGGTTGTAACTGCTAAAAGGTCCTCTCTGCAGCTGGTGGTTGCCTGTTTCCCCCTCAGCCACCTCCCCTTATTAACTAAAGGGGAGTTGTCACCCTGCTTTTAGTGTAACCCATAATAATTTCCCACTTTGTTTGTTGAGGGGGGCAGACAAATGGACTGCCCCTTAGCGCACAGTTACTGCATTTGATTGTCTTCTTGCAGCATGGAATGTACAAATGTGCATTTCCTTTTCATCCGTGCTATAACATTACAAGACTGAATTATGTTGATGGGGTCCATTTACAGTTTATGTGATTATACTCATATGTGTCTGTAAAAACAAAGTGAAACCCTAGGTCCACGGGGAAGGGTTTTCTGAGATTTCTTTACAACCTCCACAAACATAGTTTAACAACTAACACAAGTGATCCTTTTGTAGCTAGGTAGATTGTGGTGTGTCAGTTTTTAACAGTAAGCTTGGGTATATGCATTCTTTGCGGTAGACCCAAGGAAAAATCCTAAGCTCCTTATCAGGCTGGAAAGATAGTTATGACTCAATAGATGATGTGTGTGCAAACAGGCCAATTAGTGGGGGAAATCTTTGCTATGGTGACTCAATACATACAAAGCACATAACTGTTTCTTTGAAATAAGGCCTTGTTGGACATTGGTAAGCAGGAAGTTGTCTTCTTCGTGTTGAGTAATTTCTCTCTTTCTTATTCTGTAGGAAACGACTACAGACTCCTGTGTGAAGATAATGGCTGTGACTTTAGAACAGGCCCGAAGGGCGGCCTATATATTTCTGAAAGCACTCTTAAGATTTGGCTTCATGGTTGCCAATAACCTTGTCGCTATTCCGTCCTACATTCTGTATTTAATAGTACTGCAACCTCTCCGATTGTTGGATAGTAAACGGTTCTGGTATATTGAAGGAGTATTATTTAAATGGCTTTTAGCTATGGTGGCTTCCTGGGGCTGGTGTGCAGGATATACAGGTAAGAACAACTTATTACTTGGAATTGATTATGCATGTATACAGAAGTCTCCTAAAGTCTTTTTATGTATTAATAGAGATGTATATTCAGTGCTTGTCGAATAGCAGAATTTTGGCTTAAAGACACACTTAGCCAAAGGAAGGAGGGGTAGGACAGGTTGACTTCTCTGGGGAAGGAGGAAGCCCTTTTGAAATCGGTGAGATTTGTTGCAAAGTAAATACAAACATAATACTGTATATACTTATAAGGCTTCCAGAATAGTAGGACACTTCATGCCCTTCTATGGGATCTATATTGGTGAGAACTCCTTAAGTCCATCATCAGGAGTGATGGGTGCATTTTGACCCCACTTCAAAACAGTGGTACTTTCCTGTTTTCCATATGGCTTAATAGTAAACGTTCATAGGTTTTATTCTTCCTGAGCTCTATCCCAGATTGTGTCTTATGATTGTGATAAGGTGTGACAGAATATTGGGAACTGGCTTTTTTATGTGCATGAATTATATGTGCACATGTGAGTGAATGATATTAAATGTCCAAACTGGAAAACATGGGCATTCGGTTATGAATGCTGACAGCTCTAGATACATTTTGTGAATACTTATGTACATATTTCTGTGACTCTTACCATTTACCAGATTTTGGACAATCGAAATTTGTGGATATGCCAGTGAACAACAATCACTTGTCTGCGTTTGTAAAAGGGGAAATAAGACATATATTATAAATAGTTTGACTAGACAGGTTTGCTTTTTCTGAAATTCTTAATAAGTGACTTCCATTTTACTAATGGCTTCCCGAACTATAAAGATGCATGAGGACTGTTCTTGGCTTGCTTTTGTTTGTTAGAACAGTGTGTAATAGTAGATTTTGGATATTGATATGCTCACAGTTTGAAAAAAGAGGTAGATAACTCAGTATCTACAGAAATTCCCATGCCTCTATGCTGCAAAATGTTCTCTTATCTACTGATATATATGTATATATTTTGTAGAGCTTAGACATGATCATAGTGCCTCGCAGCAGTAACAGAAAGTAATACTGTAGGACTTTTAAAGAACCTGAGCTAAGTGCAGGCAACAACTGCTTTAGGCGCGTCTGAATGACATGCGAATGATCACATATGATGCTGAACCCAGAAGTTACCCCCCCCCTGCAAAGTCATAAAGACGTTACAAAAAGGGAAGGGATAGGCTTATGCCTCCACTGATGTGTTCGGCGTCCAGAACATAACCCCCATGCGAAAAGAGGATTGCCTGTATGTTTATTGGGGGGGAATTTCCAGTAGTTCCTAGTCAGTATATTTTAATTAGAGTCTTTGTCAGTATAGCACTAGAATCTAGAAAGAACTTCCTCACTTCTCTGCAAAGTAGCCTTCAAGAACAGCTGTCCTTTTTAATAATAATAATCCATGTTCTACTCTATCATGGGCTTTTCTGAGTAAAACTTTTTTTAAAAAAAAACACCATATGCTTTAAGATGAGGTTTTGCTGGAATCCAATGATTCTAGCTCTTGTTCATATTTATAATGTTCTCACTAAAGTTTTAATTGGCCTATAATGTGAATGTGAATGCGGTGCAAGTTTGTATTTTTGTTAGTCTTTTGTCATTCACGAGCAACATTCACAAAAGGTACAAATAGCTGGAGTGTGGCTCAAAGGTGCTTTTGAGGCCCCTACACTGGAAAGCATCCCACATCTTTGGGGCTTCTTGAGTAGCGCAGTGCTTCAGAAGTGCTCTCCCCGTTAGGGAGGTTATTCAGATACTCTTTTCATGCTGTAGATTTTAAAGATGTCTATTCAGAAAAAGTCTACATGGTATTCACAATGGAAAGTTTCCATCTGAGGTCTTCACACACACACACACACACACACTGAAGAAAAATTATTCCAGCAAGGAAAGAGGATTTTGATGCTTTACTGTGTTAGGTATGTGAAGTTTACTGTAAAAATGATGAGGTTAAAGACCCTATTTATTATTCTGAGGATGTAATATGACAATTTTAGTTAAAATTCAGGCCAATTGTTCTGTGATATTAGATGATGTTAGTGGTTCAGAAAGGTTTTTGTTTTTAGTTCATTTCTTCTGACAGCAGGAGAAGGTTTTTTCTTCTGCCTGTTGCGTGAAAGGCATTATCGGCATGAGGTATATTCATAATCTGCCATTGACAGACCTATTAGCTCTTTTTTCCTTTACAAACTTAAGAATTGTATAGGTTTGTTTAGGATTCATATATGGTCCTTGTTAGCATATCATGCTAATAATGCACACCATGACTTAACCACTTTGCTCCTACAGTTGTTCTGCCGATTTAAACCATGGTTTGGCTTAGCATGTCATCCATACCTGAGCTCAAGGTTTAGCGCTCTCTAGACAAACCAAAAGCTGTAAACCCATAGTACAAACTTTGATTACAGCTCCTTGCAAGCATGGGTTCAGACAACACATTATGCCAAGCATGGCTAAAGCAGCAGAATGACCAGAGGAGAAGAAAAGTAGTTGTAATCACCACTCTGGGAGCCCACATATTGTTCGTTCACACTAATGTTTTGGCTCATGCACACTATACCAAGTGATGATATCATTCTGTTTATGCTATACATGAAGAAATTAGTTGAACATATGAAATTGTAGGAGCCAGTGCATTTTTTCCTGTAGATGTTTGTGCTAAGAAAGGAGAAGTACATTTCTTATTCCCTGTTTCCTTCCCCTCCCCAATTATCATTACCTCAGGCGTTCCATATACCTATAATACTTGTGAATATGTTCTTAAAAGACTTGATGTGCTCCTTAGTGTTTAGAAGGTAAGTGCCAGTGCTTATTTGCATAAGATCACATATTCTGGAAGATTTAGAAAGTGGCCCTAAAAAAGAAAAACTATTTCAGTTCTTTCTTTACATTTCTACCATGTGCTTTACAGTTATGTCATCTGTTAGCGTTTGCTCAAGCATTTGTCTTTAACTCCGCAGGTGTCAACATTTATTTGCATTCTTGTGCTAAAACAGAGTGGAACTGTGATGCAGAGTTCAGATGACTGCTTCTTCGCCTAAATTTTCTATTTATGGTGACAAATTGGTTTTGCCACATATGCAGAAAACCCCCCAGAAATAGTTTTGTGGCCTAGTAATTAGCTGGCTTGTCTACTATTATAAGAGTACTTGAGACAATTTATGCTTGGTTATATATTTCTACTTTCAGCTGTTTCTAAACGTGTGCTCTTCAATAACATTCAAAAGAAAACACAAATATCTTGTTAGCGCATTGTTCTTTGTTTTCTGTTTTCAAAATAAGGCTTCAATATTAAGGCCAAACTAGGCATGACAGTGCTTGTTCGCTGTCTGCACGCTTCACGAATAAACTGAAGGGTGGGTGTGTCTATATTTTTAACACCAAAAGAGGTGCACATGTGAGGAAAGCTGAACAGGTTCTCAGTATTGTCATAGGCATTTTTATTTCGTCCTTGTTTACTTCTGGTGTTGGAGTTGGGTTTAGAGATAAAGGAATTTGGGCAACAGACTATATAAGAGTAAGGTAGGATGAAGTTCAACTGAGACTTCTTATTTTCTGTGACCAGTTCTTGGGAAGGGTCTTCCCAGAAAACTATATATCGAAACTAACAATACTCTTTGCTTTGAGCTATTCTTAGTACTAAGTGGATGAAATCATAATAGGAATGGTATTCTCTCATGTGCACTGATTATTCATGAACAGGTGGAACCATATGTCTGGATCTTTAACCAAGAGTCATGGTGTGCCATGTAAAATTGAGTCTCCAATTAAAGGAATTGGTAATGAGATCAAGACTTAGAGATATAAAATGTCTATGCACATGGTTTATTACAAGAAAGGGGGAAAGGTTCACTGAATTACAAAGGCATCATTTAGATTGGGTAGCGACTATGTGGTTAAATCTATAGAGAATAGAAGAGATCGGGGCAGATAGAATGAGAAGGAGGGATGTGGCGACGCTGAGAGAATTTGGAAAAAGACCCACCAAATAAAGGAAAGGTGATTGGTGATACGAAGATACAAAGGGATTCATGTTGGAATTAGGAGGTAAATAACAGTTCATTTGGTGACAGAACTTGCTTGTGAGTTTCAAAAGGGGAGAAAGAAAGTAGAATTAGAGAAGGAAAACCCAAGTATAGATACTGAGCCCATTCACCCATCATAGTAAGGCCTAAACTATGACTTACTACAAACAAGCAGTTCACTAGTGCATACCGTTGAACTGCTCCTGCTCTGTTCTACACTGCTGGGAGGTAGACCAACAGAACTCAGTGTTGACTTACTATGAACTAGAGCTTTTGGTTTGTTTCTCTCCAAACAAGCCGCAGTTGGTAAGCCAAGAGTGTTTTGATGTTTGTTGGGAGTCACACAAGAACTTGGGGTTTTCTGTTGTCCATTAATAGGTCATAATTTGTTCTCATTGTATTAGGTTACAGATAACTTGGTCTTTTGTGCATCCAATAAACTGAGGCATAAAAGACCAGGCTGCTCTTTTTTAGAGGGTCACAACTGGCTTGGCAAACATTCCAGCTAGAGAAGAGACTGAGAGACCAAAGTAGGAGTGTGGGGACAAAGTGGAAGTGAATTCGTAGACTCTGGTGACAGGATGTTCATAGGGAAAATAGTGCAAAGTTCAGTGCAGCATGCAACTGTAGTTTATAATTTTACCTCTATCTGGTTGTGGAACAGTGTTGACTGGGTTGTAGTAAAACACCCAAGGGTGAACTTTGTAATTGCCATGGAATAATGCAATATGAAAAGCCTAATACAGTTGGGTTTCTTTTTTAGTCCTTGTTTCTGAGTATGCTGTATTTTCAGAACTCTCATGCGAGGTGGAAACACTCCTTTTCTTCAATAGAATTATTTGATTCTCAGGATTTAAAAGAACTATTTAGGCAGTATAGCTAGCACAAGTGCCTTGGGGAAACACGTTGACTGCCTCCGCTACTGAAGAGACCCAAAAGCAACTTTCCATTATTGACACCATGTAT